TCATGATTATAACGTATAGGCTCAACCGTTCAATGTAGTATTCCAGCAAAATTAAAACCGCAACGTTCATCAAAATTGGGGAGATGAATCCATTGAGAATCACAGCCCTGAGATTTTTGCACTCGATTTTAAGTCATTTTAAAAGTGTTTTGCATTTATTTTGTTTATTTTTCCACCGGCCCAGGACAACCACCAATCAGTGGCAGAAACAGCTGTCGTTGGGTTCCCGCATCCAGTAAAAGGAGAAGGTCAGTTTATAAGACTTTTTTCAGTTTGTTTTAATAGTGACTTAGGCAATTGCACAGAAGACCTGAAACGAAAATGTCTGAGGTTTCTATGGGATTCTAGCTCAAGAGCTCCACGTCAGCGGTGAGAGGGAAATTACGAGAACTTATATGAAAGGACGTAACTGCACGTGTTTGGGAGTTTGGTTGCTGAGCGAAGTAGTGTTAAGAGACAACATAACGCTCTAATGGTTGGTATCTGTGCCAGCTCTCCCGCATTATCCGGGTTGTTTACCATTTACCCCAACATTCCGGAAATTTTGGTCAGAATTTAAATGGTAGGACAATTTTGGCCCGACCGACCGGAAAATTTCCGAAATAAACGGAACGTCTTGAAAGGAAGTCCAAAATTTCCAACCGGAATATCGGAAGGGAAAATGTGCTTACCATTTGCAATTCTTCATCGCCAGCTTGGAATTATGATCGGGTAGAATACCTCCAAGGCTCTCTCAGTAAATTGGGGTTTTTTAGGTATATGGTAAATGGACAGTCCGAACAGAACTTACCATCGGGCATTTTTGTTCACAATTTGCACAACCCGTTGACGAACCGTTTTCGTATCAATGGTAAATAACCAACAACATAACGCTCGAAGGGCTGGCATCTATGTCAGATCTCCCAGGTTATCTGGGGCGGTCGTCCCGAATCGACGGAACACAACTGTGTGCTGCGTTTTTTTGAGGGGGGAGGAGGGACGGGGGACGGGGGNCCCGGATTTCGCCGGATTCTTTTAGAAGAGTTTAGTTCTTTATTGAACGAGCCTGTATGTTTTCATGATTTCTTAGGTATTTATGCCTATGCAACTTTGAAAGATGACGCAACAATATCTGCAGAGGACTTAAGAAAGGATCTTAAGGACATTGTTCGTCAGAAGATAGGCTCCTTTGCTGTTCCAGAAGTCATTCAGGTGATTCTCTTTGGAAATTAAAATCTGACGGTTATGTATAGGAGGTATTTGATTATTTCCGTAAACTGACACGAACATTTGGAACACAGAGAGCAGATTTGCGTCAAGCAATTTCCATTTTCGCGTTGGATGACGACGAAATTCCTTTTTGCAGTTTTCGTGCTCTCGGAAACGTTTGAAATGCGTGTTAATACGTGTTTCTTCTGGTTGAATTAGTGGAAGGCACTGTTGGCGATCTTAGCAAACGTGAGCACTGGCTTTTTCTCCAACCAATCATGTTAAAAACCAAAGCCAGTCGTGTCTTTGTTAACGCGTCGTTAACGCGTGTTTTCCCGCGCTTTTTTGTCCCGGATTCTGATTGGCCAAGTGTGTTTGAATAAACCAAGGCAAGAGATGTTTCCTTCTCGTTCTGAGGTTACAACAGTTATCGTGCAGAGACTCATTAACCACACAAGACTTCTGAGGACTGCTCATTTGATTCTCCTGGTATATCAAAGATTTGCGTTTGTTTCAGTATACCAACCTTTCTAAATGTGTTTCATTTTCTTTTTTTTTTCCTTAGGTCGTGTCCGGTCTTCCTAAAACCCGGTCAGGAAAGATAATGCGACGTATTTTAAGGAAGGTTGCCCAAGACAAGCCAGACGAGTTAGGTGACGTTTCCACGCTAGCGGATCCCTCAGTCGTGGAAGAGATTGTACGACAACACCTTGAGCTTATGCAGAAAGTTAGATCGAAACACGAGTAGGCTGGAATCCAGTCCTTCCTTTTCCAAGGAACCGTTGAGAATACTGGCGGAAAGGGGGACTGGTGGACAGACCTGGGAAAAACTGACACTTCAGTCTGTGTACTTTTTAGCGTAAATTACATTTACACTGAAGAACAAACTACACTAGAGTTAATGACGCTAAATGATTCTTGCAAGGTTAAAAATATGAGTTTAATATCGAACGAGACATTTTAAAGAGTTTTGAAACGTTCTGAGACGAAACGTCTAGAGATTTCTAATGTATTATGTATAGCGTCCTCTTTCTGTCACACTTGCCTGTGCTCTATGTAAAATAAGTATCATGAGAATTTTCCGCTGCTATAACATAACATTGAATTATTTCCGATTAAAAATTATAGGTAATAGTGTAAATAAATTTTACGTCTAAACAGAGTTTTTTTCACAAAATAACGAAACCGGCCATTTCCAGGGACAGTTCACTAGTAAATAACACGACTTATCTAACAAACATGATCGATGAATTTACCCGCATTACGAACATTAGATTTCTGTCCATTAAGCGACTTCTTCGAAGTCATACGTTAAGTTTATACGGAGGCCGCGCGAGTGAAGCAAGCAAGATTTTTAGTAGGCTCGATTTCGGCCGCTCTCTCAAGTCTGGTCTTCGTCCTTCCCGAACAGCGGCTGGTAATCGAGCCTTGACTCGAGCCCAAATTTTTAGCCTTAAGCAGTATATGTAGAACAGGAGGTCACGTCCAATCACAGATCTACGCTATTTGTCAACAGCCTTGTGTTGATTTCTTACCTGGTATAAACTTAAACTGTGCGATTACATTTTCGGGAAAATTAAATTTTTACCAGTGAGGGTCCGACGGTATGAGCTGCTGTGGAAAGCTTAGTCGTTTTCACAGTATTTCTTTAGTTAGGGAGATTAGAAAACTAACATCTATATATTTGTTTGTCTAGAACATTGAAAGAATAAATGCAATAAACAACTATTTATCCATATGGTTCTCTGTTCGCTTGAATGACCAGGCCATGCTGCACACATTTCCTGAGCCGAACAAGCGCAGTTTGCTGGGACTTTTAGTCGAAGTTAGCGCCACTGGAAAGAATTTCTCAAAGTCCTTCTCTGAGCTCTCCTCGCAAGTGTGCTCCTCTTAGGAGTGACATAAAGTAAAGGGTGGCACTAAAATACGTACAAAAGTCCAGCTTGTTTGTTGAAGAAAAGTTCTCACTGTCTTTCACTCTTGTTTTAAAGTAAGGACGCACCCATACTCGATGCACTGGGACTGTTCGGAAACGATCGCTCAACTAAAAACATAAGTATAAGGAAACTCTGAACGAAATGACGTCCTAACTTCCTTGCATTTCGAAAGACATCACTCCTTCACTTGACGAGAACCAAGTAGCTGTGACAAAAGAAAAACCATCTCCGATAATTTAATGAGTCACGGTTTTCGTCGCCAAAGTTCCTAAGCAACATAACCTATGCTCAATACATCATATTAGCACATGATTGTTTTTCAAACAAATCGTGAGTACTCGCGCTAGTTTTCGATTGGCCAATAAGAACTGGGAATTGCTCAAGCTCTTCAAGGAATATTTGTCACAAACAGCACGTTTCCCCGACGACTGCAGTCAGACTTTCTTCTTTTTGCCTGGGGGTGGTTTAGTCACCGAGTCCCCACTCGCTGTTCTTTTCGTCGCCTGGTGCGAGTTAAGAGGTCCACGTGCTACATTAGTGCCCAAGCTCCCGGCCACACTGGCACCGTTAGGGACTGGCTCCGCAGCAGCTAAGGGGTCTGCTGAAAGTTCTTCCTTCGACTCGGTCTCTTCACCAGTTTTGTCTCCATTCTTCTTGACTTGGCCTAAAAGTTGACAAAGACACAGAACTTGGAGCCAGAACTAAAATAAACAATCGCAAACAAACTGCACAATGACCCAATCAGAATCAGAGTTACTAATTTCAGTTTCATATCAGATTGAAAAGTGTAAAACTGCTCACATTTTGTCGCATGTTCTATTAATAAAATTAAGCCTCAACTACCAGCGACGGATTCGGAGACAGAGTCGCGTTCGGAGTGGTAACAATGCTTATGATACCTGTCTCGCAGGGTACGCTTATGTACGCTTATGGTGAAAATCGAATATCGGAGTCCTGTTCAACGGAATCGGTGTCAGAAGAATCGGAACGTTTCCATCTCCTTTCCATTCCGCTTACGACTTCGTCGCTTCTGATCCCGTAAAAGCTAAATTCGAGTCGGAAGCAGAAGCGGAAGAACCTGCCAATTACGATGCCTGGAATCGAGCATTCTGATTGGTTTATTCTTTGACTTCTGTTTGCGACTCCGATAATTTAGTTGTTACTGGATCATAAGCGACGGAGTCATAAGCAGAATCGGTGTTCTGCTTCTGACTCCATCGTTTTATTTTCACGACTTCCATCTAATTACGCCTCCGACTCAGACTCCATTGCTAGAGTGAACCAGTCTTATGCGCACTGCGTGGTCTGTGCCAGAGGTTACTGAATACAGTGGGCTGTATAGGAAGGCTTCTCCCAACAAGGGAAACTTGTAAAGACAAGCCATATAATGTGTGAAAGAGTAGCGATTTTAAGTATATCAAAGGGTCGTAAAAATAGTTGTTGAACTGAAACTTGGAAATTTTAAAGTGTTCAAGAATTCGTAACAAACAAATAAGATGGGGCATCAGTGAATTTCGGGATGAATAATTCATCAAATTCTAAATGAATAATTCATTCAAATTTTGGTGGAAACAGTCACTGTTTCCACCAAAATTTGTAGACTTCAGCATTGTCTTGAAAAGACTGCCATTAATAACCTAAGCTTACTGAATTCTCTGGTATTTTGCAGCTATGTTTTGGAGTTGTCGGGCCCCCTCAAGGGGGTAGCAAGTGTTCCCACCCATACAAGCCGAATGAAACAGGGCCCCATGAAAGAGCTTTTTCAAAATCGGGTAGCACAAAAAGTGGGGGAGAGCAGTGTGGGTTTCATTCCACTCATTCAGGAACACTTGCTGCGCAGGTTATCAACGGGGATGATAACTGTACAGGTGACGGGATGGTTGTAAGGCGGGGTTCCACTGTAATCAGTAAGCAAACAAGACTGTTATCAACAAGTTTACCTGTGGTTGTCTGACCTTGAAGAAACTGAGGTGGAAACTTCCTGGACAGCTCACCAAGAAGCATGTGAACACCCTCTCTCTGAAACAGTGAGCTCGGCTCTTTATTAGGATCCTTCGATGACTTGGTTTTTTCATTGTTACTGCTTTTGGCAGCTAAAGAAAGAAGTGAAAAAGGGAGGAGCTTGCTTATCTTAGGTTTGGTAGTATGAAGCAATTGAATGTACTTTGCTACTCCCCCTGGATGGAGTACTAATCCATGACAGGTCCCCCCTCCCCCCTTCCCCGCTTTCCTCGCAAGATTGTATCATATTTGCCTTGACAATTCACTGGTACTCATTTATAAACATGGGTGGAGAGAAGCACAGTGTATTACTCAGCTCATAAACCCATAATGAAGAAGATATGAACAAATCACAAGGTGCATGCACAAATGACATAACCAGTATCTGGTTTCTGACACCTCAAACAACTGCAGGCCTTATTCTATTACTGAATATGCTACTCACTGTTCAAAAGTTTCTGTTTTTTGTCTTTGAACTCCCACCAATAACCTTTTGATGGATGGTATCTTGAGTATGATGAAGCTGTTTAGAACAACACAGTGATTATTTTTCAAAGCCAAACTTCAATAAAATGAGTAGCAGTTATTACAGTTATCAGCGGTTTGACATATAAATGAGGCAATGAGGGGTCAATTCTGCTTTGTAATGACTCATTCGCCTCATTTGTATGCCTCTTTAAACTACAGAATATTTGACTGCAGACTCAGCTGTAGTAACAGCTATTGATAAACATCATAAAGCATTATATTAATAAAACCAAAGAAGACTTTTTTACTTCAGAATTTACGATAAATTTTGAAGTAACTTTATTAAAAGTTCACATTTGTTCTTAGCTTCACTTGAAAGATTTACATTCTACAAGCAGCTGGAAGTAAATAAGAGCAAGGTACATACAAAGTCTGTCTTAAGGCCCTAAATGATTTACCCAGCTGTCTTGTAGCTCCAATTTCCAACACAAGTGACTACACATAGAGAGATCCATGCAGTGTCTCTGACTGGGTCGGCTGTTGCCATAGTTAGTACTAACTATGTTTTTATTGAGCAGCAAATTTTGTGCACAACTAATCAAGACAGATCCATACAATATATAGATCTTGGCAGAACTAATAATAGTATTGTTCTCAAATTCAATCTCACATTTCCCAGGACCAAGGATAGAATTAAACACATGAAAGAGACTCTCTCTGTGATATTTCAAATGAGATAAATTTAACACACCTTCATCAAAAGCAGCTTGTATGTGGTGCAAGGCTGAATGCTAACAAAACAATTGACAATAGAAACATTTAGAACCATCCAAGTCACCTAATGTATACTTTGTTAATATACTCATGCCTTAACAGCGTTGTGTTAACATTAGACATCTTTTATGACTGACTTATAACCCAATTATAACTGGAAAGTGTCCACATCTGCCAATGACAGTCATAAATAATATTGTGATCCAATAAAAATTACTTCAAGAAAGCTTCAGTAGTGTGAGAAAACCTAAGCATTTTATATATTATTCCTTTTAAAATAACAAAATGGAAGCAAATCAGCTCAGAACTAGCTTATAGAAAATTGAAGCATACAACTATAGGGAAACAAGAACATGCAAATGAATGCATTGACTGAACACCCCAGGGGGGGGGGGGTACTCCCTATAATGGCCTAGCTATCCGGGAAGGCCCCGCCCAGAAGGGGTAACTTTTTCAGGTGTTAGGTATACAAATGGGTAGTGACTTCAAAAGTCAAGGTATATGAAAGGGCAGGGAAATCTGTCAGTAAATTCTAACCTGAACGTGACCTGAATATGAAATACTTGTTTCTTTGGTTAACATCTCTTGTGGTTATGCTTGATATCCTCAAGTAATTTTGTTCATAAACTTCATTCAAAGGGTTTAGAAAAGGGATGCAGTGTTCTTAAGAAGGTATGTGAAAGGGCTACCTTTTCTGTCAAAATGGTATACAAAAGAGTCAGGGATTGGATCTTGGGATGGAGCCTCCCCGTATAAAACTGAACCCTAACAACAGGAATAATTACCTCAGTTGCATTTCAAAGATCAAATATTACTGATTATAAAAACTGTTTTCTCTATTATAGCCTCCTATGCAGATGCTCTTTGGGCTCGTCACGCAATCCTCCTCTGTAATGGAAGGATTGCATGACGAGCCATAAGGATGTCTGCACAGGAGGCCATGGCTTCAGTTACTAACCAATCTTGAATTAATGACAGAGCAAAGATCAGGTGCTTGGTATACCACTCCTGCCAACATATAGTAATCTGCAAGTGGCGTGACTGCACACAGACATTAAATTAAAGGAAATAGAAGATTAGAGTCAAAGATACCAATACAGTAGAACCCCGCCTTACGGTCACCCCATTAATATGGTCACCTCGTTATTACGTCCACTTCATTCTGGCCCAAACAAAAGCTAGTCATTTTCTTATCTAAAGAACCCCTTTAATGTAGCCACCCCGTTAATACAGCAAGATTTTTGTGGCCCGTTAGTGACCGGATTAACAGGGTTCTACTGTATGTATATACATAACCATACAAATATCAATTAAATCTGTACTGTGCTAGGTTTAGAATTTTTAATATTACATGCAAAGTACTGTCTTGTTATAAGAATAAACAAAATAACATAAAACTGTCACAATACTCATCCGTTAGTCCCAAAACATTTATTTTTCTCTACCTTGCGTTGGCGAAATTCTATGCTGCTTTCTGATGACATAGAGGATTGGATCTTGAACATGGAGAACTTCATACTCGATACCTGTCATGGTCCTAGAAGAAATCAAAACAAGGTATCCCCTAAGCAGTATCACATGACCGTATCACAAGCTCAAGTTTAGAGCTCATAGAGGTCACATGGTTTTTAAGTTGACCGCTGACCAAGTGCTGATTTTTTGATTGGATCACGGGCTCATGCCAGGTTAACTCGTTGTAAACAGGGCTAATCAGGGCTAGGTTGTTTGGAAACCGGTTAACACTAACCCAGGATTAAGAGTTAAGCAAAGTTTAAATTTTTCTTGTATACAAATGTTTTTCACTGCTTTTGTTTTGTGTAGTTTGAAATTATTAACTTAAAACAGAAGGCCAAACAATAGAAACAGAATCCTCACCTCAAAGTTACAAAACAGAAATAAAATTCTCGCTTATCCTGCGTTAGCTTAATCAAGCTTTACACATCGCGGCCCATGAGCTCCGCTTTTAGGCTTGGCAAAATCTATATGTTACAATTTCCATCATCCTGCTGTTCACTCACAGAAGGAAGTCGCGAATAGAGCGAGTCTCAGAAAATTGTGTTCATTATTAGTTGGGGCCACATGAAAATCTTGCCTTCGGTTTCGTCTTTCCATGCTCCTTTTAAAACTTACTGTAAAGTTGATGGGTCAAGCCGCTGCATTTTGACGACTTCGTTGTTGCATGTGCGATCATAAAACGGATTAGTTCTTTGTGAAAAGTACTCCAAAACATTTCCAGGATTAAGGATCGGAATCCAGGCGCTATCATGCCACGAAAGTCCTAACTGATTTTCCGATGGCTCGGCCGCCATCTTGATATTCTTCGAGCATGCAGCCGAGAGGGGCTTGGGTACGTATCTTACCCAGTGTCACTCACAGGACTTCGGCGCGCCCGAACAGTGGCTGGTAATCGAGCCTACCTGATAATCAAAATAACACGACACACACTTAAAGTCTGTAATCTGCAGTCTGCATTTTACCATTTGTCTGCAGTTTTCGTATTGCATTGACCATTTTTTTTTAGAGCAGGGGCTCAACAGCAACACTCTATTCCCGGGTCCACTGATTATACTTTCATAGTGTGCAGTCAACACCCAGTGGCTGGACGTAGTCTATATGAAGCCTATGCATAGCGACGTTTTCTCATTTTTCCGAAGTTTCGGAGGAACATTTGGAAACAAATGGATGATTCAATTCCTGAAAAGACGAAAAAATGACATTCACGATTGCTCTTGACTTTAAAAACTCGAAACTGTTGAACAAACTCAGGGCGTAGTTAGCCTTTAGCCTTTAAGCGCAGGCTGAGGTATATGAATACTTGACAAGGTAGC